AGAGAGAGAGAGAGAGAGAGAGAGAGAGAGAGAGAGAGAGAGAGAGATTAACTTTTACTCTTGAAAGTGTCCTCCTGTGACACTGTGTATGGTGGGGCACGCCTAAATCCTAGCACTTGGGTGTTTGGTGAAGGAGGGTCAGGAGTTCAAAACCAGCCTCAGCTAAGCTCCTCCTTTCCTGCCAGGCCAGGCCACATCACATTGTTTTAAAAGCAACCAACAACAAAAGAAATTTCCTGATAAACTTTAGGCTTCTCTTGCTTATAAACATCACCTTTGACTTTTCTTGTTCTTAAAAAGAGAAAGGGGGCTGGAGAGACGGTTCAGTGCATGAGAGCACTTGCTGTGCAGGTTTGAAAACATGGGTTCAAATCCTTAGCACCCATGTGAAAAAGATGGTGCGGCAGCACATAGCTGGCACGGGGTGGAGGGCGGCAGGACCAGTGGGGCTTTCTGGCTACCAGTCAAGTTCCAAGCTGAGTGAGAGACTGTGTCTCAAGGGAATAAGCAGAGAGAGACTGCAGGTAGCAATGTCTTCCTTTGGGCATAGGAATCCACACACAACACACGTGCATACACCACACACAAATACACACACACACATACGACATATATCATCACGTGCAAGCACAACATGAAAAAGAACTCTGGAGACATGGGTGGTCTTGCAGTGGACCCAGGTTCAGATCCCAGCACCCACATAGTGGCTCACACTTGCCTGTAATTCGAGTTCCAGGGGATCCAATGCCCTCTTCTGGCCTCCAAGAGCACCTGCACACATGTGCTGCACATAATCACACACACACACACACACACACACACACACACAAAACATTTTGAAAAAGAAGTCAACAAGCACCATGTTGAACCAGAGGCAGGCAGATCTCTGTGAGTTAGAGGCCAGCCTGGTCTACAAGAGCTAGGACAGGCACCAAAGCTACAGAGAAACCTTGTCTCGGGAAAAAAAAAAATAATTATTAGGTACAAGAAAGAGTATACCATTCTGGGAAGAGTCCAGAAATGCTTTACCTAGAGAACTCATTAGACAGGCGTTTCCCGAATTTAGGAGCCACGCTGTGTGGGTGGAATGTTAATATGAGGAAGAGTGGAAGAGCGCATTTATGGGGACGCAAAGACGTCTGCTCTGCACGGCACTCAGTGTCTGCTTCCTCTCTTGGAATTATGTTTTCCAACTCTGTCTTTTGTTTGCTTGGGTCTGAGGCAAGATCTCAAGAAGCCCAGGCTGGCCTCAAACTCTGTGTGAAATTGAAGTTGATCTTGAATATCAGATCCTCTTGCCTCCACCTGCTAAGTGTTTGCAGGTGTGCCTGACTTCCCCTACTGCAGTGCCGGGGCTCAAACCCTAGACCTCCTGCACCCTAGGCAAACACTCCCAGCCCTGCTCTACTATTAACATTTTTTTGGGTGCCGTGACTCGGATAATATTAACATTTTTTAATTTAATTTTTAGTGTGTTCGTGTGTGTGCATGCGTGCACACACCTATGTATGTATACATGTGTGTGTGCGTAGGCCAGAGGATGCTCGTGAGAGTGGCTTTTCTTCTACCACATGGGTCCCAGGGATTGAATCTTGGTCTTGAACCTTGGTCTTTAGGCTTGTATGGCAAGCATCTTTATCCAACTGAGCCATCCTGCCAACCCCTATCTCTTTAATTTTTAGGTCAGACTCATGGGAGTAGGTGGAGTCATGCAGATGCCATGTAGCTACCAGAGGAGAAAGACACCGCATGCCAGCACCTTACCTGTAGGCTACAGCCTTGTGGCGATACACAGATGAATAGAAATGGGTTAATTTAAGATGTAAGAGCTCGCTAGAAATATGCCTGAGACATTGGCCCAACAGCATTGCAATTAACACAGCTTCTGTGTGATTATTCAGGTCTGGGCTGCTGAGAACGAATCAACAGTCAGTCTCCTTTTACACACAGGAAGGCACACAGACACTCACAGTTATTCTTTCTATTTTTACTTACAGTTTGGGTTTAGCCAGGACCGGAGGGGGCTCTTTGACAGGTGAGGAAGGCTCTGGGGTCCTGGTTTCCTGTCCGTTGAACTTCTCAGGGAAGGAGTTGGGCCTAGTGTGGCTGGCGTTGGCCGCTCCACTGCCAGAGGAAGCCTCGCTGTCTCTGTCATCCTCGGGTAGGTTGAAGTGCACCCGTAGCCCCATCCTGGAGCTGGAGCGGGGCTCGTTATGGTTCACCAGGACCCCTTCAAGCTTCGGCTTTGGGGGCTGTTCCTCAGAACGTGGCTCTGGGTTGGGTGGGGCGGGCTGTTGCTCAGCCACAGCCAGGGTGGTAGTTGAGTTGGTGGAGTGAAGAACCCCGTTATCACTGAGGTCTTCATTTCCTGAAAGGACAATTGGATTAACTAATTAACTAATTAATTAACTAATTAATTAACTAATTCACCAACAGGACACCTGGAGCTAGGGCATACAGACGAGCAGGAAAATATCAGTCCATGGAAACGCACACCAGGAAGATGCTTGCTCAAGAAAGAGCTTTCAAGAATGGTGAAGATGGCCGGGCGATGGTGGCACACGCCTTTAATCCCAGCACTCGGGAGGCAGAGGCAGGCGGATCTCTGTGAGTTCGAGACCAGCCTGGTCTACAGAGCTAGTTCTAGGACAGGCTCCAAAGCCACAGAGAAACCCTGTTTCAAAAAATCAAACCCCCCCCCCAAAAAAAAAGAATGGTGAAGATGTTAGGAAAACTGAATTGAACATCCGAGTGCACGTGTGTAGCGCTGCGGAATACAGGCTTGGTTTATTTGAGCATGTGGGTGGGCTTGATTCCCTGAGTCCCTACCTCTAGAATCTAGGCATTCTGTGTTTTATTTTGATTTGTTTTGTTTCAAGACAGGGTTTCTTTGTGTAACAGCCCTGCCTGTCCTGGAACTCACTCTGTAGACCAGGCTGGCCTCGAACTCACAGAGATTTCTCTGCCTCTGCCTCCCGAGTGCTGGGATTAAAGGTCTGTGCCACCACACCTGGCTACGTTCTGTGTGTTTTACATATGTGTGTGTGTGTACACATGTGGAGGCCAAAGGAAGACTTCAGGTATTCATGGCTGTTGAGTTCCAGAGATCTCTTTCTCCCCAGGGCAGCGATTACAAGCATAGGCTACCATGCCTGACTTTTGCATGTAGATTCAGGGCACTGAACCCAGGCGCTCGAGCTCGTGAATCAAGCACTTCACCTACTGAATACCTTCCAGCCCCTTGAAGTACTCTTAAGAATCTGAGAGGTTTATATAAAGCCACAGAGCTGCTTTCTCGGGAGCTATGAAGAGACAGCAGGGCCACTGAGGAGGCTGTGGCTGCAAGGGGAATGAGAACTTGGAAAATGGACATTGTCCATAAATGTTTCTTGGAGACAGGGTCTCATGTATCCTAGGCTGACCTTGAACTCACTCTGTTGCCAATGACCTCTCCTGCCTTCGAATTCCCAGTGCTGGGATTATAGGTATGTACCCTAAGGTCTGGTTTATGCAGTGCTGGAGAAGAACCCGGGGCTTCGGGCTTGCTAGGCAAGCACTCCACCAGTTGAACTATAATCTGCAGTCACAAGAACATTTTTCTTCACACTGTTATTAGTTTATTTTGTGCATGTGTGTATACAGTCATACAGGCATGCCAAGGCAGGAGGGGGGAGGTCAAAGGACAACTTGCTGGAATCAGTGTTCCTCTTGCACTGTGTAGGTCTCGGGGACTGAATTCAATCAGTCATGCTTGGTGGGAGGGACCCTTACCTGCTGAGCCATCTTATCACCAGCCCCCAGGAACAACTTCCTTAATAATCAAAAATTTTCAGAGATACTTTATTTTAGGTGTGAGTGCTTTGCCTGTATGTATGTGCGTGCCCTACATGTATGCAGTGCCCTTGGGGGCCAGGAGAGGGTGCTGGATAGCCTGGTACTGGAGTTAACAGACAGCTGTGAGGCTGCCCCGTGAATGTTGGCTGTTGGACCTTGGTCCTCGGGAAGACTAGCCAGGGCTCTTCTTAACTGCTGAGTCATTTCTCCACGCCCCAATTTAAAATTTTGTTTTCAGTCAGTCTTGCACTTTATTGCCTTTCCACAACAGGCTTTGACCACACACTTACACAGCAGGTAATCTAAATCTTTATGATCCATACATGAATCAGAAAGAAAGATACTCTGAACTGGGCATTGGTGGCACACACCCTTAGTCTCTACTCCTTAGGAGGCAGAGGCAGGCGGATCTCTGTGAGTTTGGAGCCAGACTGGTCTACAGAGTGAGTTTCAGGACAGCCAAGGCTAAACAGAGTAACCATGTCTCAAAAAACAAAAACAGAAACTACAAAGACTTTGAAGTTGCCACTCCCCAGTCTAACCGCTAGGGAGCGCTCACCTCTCACGTCCAACTGGGCGATGCTGGACACGGTGCCGTATTTGTTGCTTGCGGTGCAGGTGAAGCATCCGGAATCTTCCGAAAACACCTCAGCAATGACCAAAGTGCAGATCTCCTCTGTGTGCCAGCAAGACAGAAAAGTTAACGACCTAATCGCGGAGACGGAGCTGTGAGACTAAATGATATCAAATGGCGGGTCTATAAACGTTGACATAGGGGCTGACTTCATTGGTTCTTTGAAAACAGCTGCACCGGATAACTATTGGAGCAAACTGACCGGTTAGGAGGCTGAAAGAGTCCAGATACATAAACCAACGCCTCATGCTGACAGGCTGGGTACCGACAAGAGGGTGTGGAGATAATGCGTTGCATACAACGCTAGGGGAACCCTCTAACGATTGAGCTACATCCCCCAAAGGTGCAGCACAGGTTGGCCTCAAACTCCCGATTCCTTATTCTTTTCAGCATTTGCCAACGAGGACAAACCAAGACCAATGGTTACCCATAATACACATTCTGTTTCTATGTCACCAATCCAGATGACACAAATCAACTAACAATTAACTAGTCAGAAGTCACAAAAACACATGGGGGGGGGGAGGTTGAAGGGAAAGGAAGTGTGTAACAGAAAAATTAATGAAACAGTTTTCCGAACCCCAGTCTCTCGTTAGTTTCATGGGGAAATTTCACAGTGAGATCATTTGAAACAAAGGCCGCAGTTTAAAACTGGCCAGAAGGGCTGGGATGGTAGGGGGTGCATGTCGGTGAGAGAGCTCGTGCGTGAGATCCTGGGTTTGATCCCCAGCATTACAAAAAAAAATTGGACAGTCAAAGGCTGCTTTGTTTAAGTAGTAGCAATTTGCTGATAGAGAGAGAGATTCTGGGGGAGAGGAGACAGAAGAGCCATCTCCTTTTCCAATGGCATAGTCACACCCATGGATCAGCATGGAGTCTTGAGAGTGACGACATAGGTAATTCTCAGAAAAGGCTAGATCCTGAAACTAATGCAGTTAGATGTTTTTGAAAACTAGAGACGAACAGGGTCATTAAAACAAAATTACTAAAACAGCTGTGTTAGGGGACGCTTGGCATCTCAGGACTTCACGCTGACTGATTTAAGTCAACTAGAACCCTCCAGGGCAGCGGTTCTCAACCAATGGGTCGCAACCCCTTTGGGGGTCAAATGACCCTTACGACCATCAGAAAGCATAGCTATTTATGTTATGATTCAGGACAGTAGCAAAATTACAGTTATGAAGTAGCAATGAAAATAATTTCATGGTTGGGGGCCACCACAACATGAGGAACTGTATTAAAGGGTTGCAGCATCAGGAAGGTTGGGAACACTGTTCTAGAAGAACTTCCCAGGAGCCACGGCAGGCAATGCTGGTTAGTCCTTAGGTCTTTATTCTATACCCTATGCTCTAGCGTAGGCATGCAATGCAGATGGTCTGTGCTTCCTTCAGGAAGGCCTGCGCTGTTAGAAGAGAACTGCAATGGCATGGCCAACCATCTCCTCACCCAGAGCCACAAAGACAGCCCGAGGGCTCTGGTTTGTAAATGGTTCGCTCTGTCTACGGGCAAATGCCTCACGGCTCTTTCTTCTGCTTCAGTGTTCTTCAAAGCCAGCTCAAGAAGCAGCTCATGCGCTGTATTTAATCTCAGCACGTTCCTGAATCTGGTCCATAAAGTATGTCTTTATTTTATTTCGGCTGGTTCTGGAGTCCAAACCCACGGCTTTGAGTAAGCTAGGCAAGTGTTCTCATAATCAATATTCCCAGCCTCTCATCTACTAAGTTTGAGAGACACAAAAGCTGAGGAATTGGACATCAAAGAAATTCCGAGCCCCATTTCGAGGAGAGCATAAAATGAGTGGGAGTGATGGTCACAGGGAAAACAGCCCCAGGAACACAGAAAATTAACTATGCTAACATCAGATATTAAAATGATATGCAAATTTGAGCATATCCCCTCTCCCCCCCCCCCTTCTACAATAACAGCTAGAGTTCATTTGGATCTTTCTAGAACTTTTTATTTTCACCTTTTCTGGACTGCTCTCACACTTTTAGAATGATCACGTTTTCATGCATGTGTATCTCAAACCACTCATCACACGTTAGTAAGTTAGCGTTGAGACAAACTTTACCTGGCTCTGCCATGGACCGAGGTTCTAAAGGGAGAAAAAACAAAAGGTCGTGAGCGTCTACTTTACTGAGAAGCTACATTTCCTTCAGAAGCTTCCGGTAAGCCGGGCAATGGTGGCGCACGCCTTTAATCCCAGCACTCGGGAGGCAGAGGCAGGCGGATCTCTGTGAGTTCGAGACCAGCCTGGTCTACAGAGCTAGTTCCAGGACAGGCTCCAAAGCCACAAAGAAACCCTGTCTCAAAAACAAACAAACAAAAAAAAAAAAACCAAAAACAACAACAACAACAAAAAAAAAAAAAACAGAAGCTTCCGGTGGTCTCTGTGTCTGACTTACTTGGGGGTGAAGGGATAAGGACAATCTGTCAAGGTTAAGTAATAACCCAAGTACAGGTGACCTCAATAAGGTCACAGAGGGACAGCTGGAGGCTGCTAAGTGATGCTTCAGTGAATATGAGCTTCAGACCCGTGGGCAGGGAAGAATGCCAAAGGATTCAAAGGACTAGTGTCTGTCTGTCTGTCCGTCCGTCCATCTATCTATCTATCTATCTATCTATCTATCTATCTATCTATCTATCATCTATCATCTATGTATATATGTATCTATGTATGCATCTATGTATCTATCTATGCATCTATCATCTATGTATGTATGTATCTATGTATGTATCTATCATCCATCTATCTATCTATCTATCTATCTATCTATCTATCTATCTATCTATCTTGTGCAAGCCACAGCAATCATGTGGAGGTCACAGGACAATTTACAGGACTCAGCTCTTCCCTTCCGTCCTGTGGAACCCGGGATCAAACTCGGGTCTTAAGGCTTGAAGTCGGGAGCCTCTACCTGCAGAATCATCCACTGGCCCATGACTTTCTTCACCTGGGAGAAAGGTTGTGATGTTTGAGAAATACCTCTTGGCTCTGGGCCCTCCCATGCCTCTAAAATCTATCTTTTTCCTTCAGTAAGCTTGTAAGCCTAAGAGCCTCAGGACATGGAAAGACCCTGGAAGGCCAGTTCATCCTCTTACAATTGTTTGGTTTTCCTCCTAGTGCCTACCGCTAAGTACAGGTGCTCCACAGACATCTGTCCGATGGTAGGCATTCAGCAAATACTGTGCATCTGCGGCACATCTGCTTCTACACAATACGCAGAACTACGGAAGCGTTTGTCTTTCCTCAGCTAAACGGTGTGCCGAATTATCACTGTTGCTGCCCCCACGCATGTCAGAGGAAAAGTCTTCCCAAGTCAGTTCACTTCCTCCACTGTATGGGTCTGGGGATTGAAGCCAAGTTGTTAGCCTTGAAGGCTGGCACCTTTATCCACGGAGCCACCCCACTGGCCTGTGGCTTATACTAGATTAGAGGTAGAACTCTTGCCTGGCATGCAGAAGGTCCTGGGTTCAATCCTTACTACTGCAACAACAACAACAAAACCATTATAATTGCGGCTGGCAAAATGGCTCAGGGGGTAAAAGCACTTGTCACCAAGGCCGGTCACCTGGGCTCAATCCTCAGGACACACACGGTGGAAATGGGAAACTCTGCCCGCAGCTTGTCCTCGCCCTCACAGGTATGCTGTAGTACATGTATGCACACATACAATACATACGTGTAACTAAACTTTAAAATAATAAACAAAAGTAAGAAAACTATATTAATATGGAAAGGTGTCTATGAACTTTTGTGTAAAAAAAAAATCAGCTATAGTCAGGCGTGGTGGAACATGCTTTTAGTCCCGACACTTGGGAGGCAGAGGCAGGAGAGTGAATCTGTGAGTTCAAGCCCAGCCTGGTTTACATAACTCAAGGTCAGTCAGAGCTACACAGTGAGATTCCCATCTCAAAAAGTAAAATCAATTTTTATATATATATATATAAT